AGCGGTTCATGGGTCTGCCCACACCGAGCGACAACCTGTACGGTTACAACCACACGGACGTGACCAGACGGGTGGAGGGTATCCGTGGCAAAAAGTACATGTTGATACACGGAACGGGGGATGACAACGTCCACTACCAACAAGCGATGGTCCTGAACAAGGCTCTGGTGCAGAGGGACATCATGTTCGAGCAACAGACGTACACTGACGAGGCGCACGGTCTGACCGGGGTCTCGCCTCACCTTTACCACACCATGGACCGATTTTGGGGCGATTGCCTCGGATACACGTCACGTGTCTCCAGGATTACTACGGATTCAGGTGACTCAGTGGGCATTGCTCGATCAGCAATACTCGCATAGACGATCCAAATGGTTCGTCCAGCCTAAAATCTGGCCCTTGTCCTTCGAACGATTTTCCATGGATTCCGTGGATCGTTGCGATCAGAGAATCCACTTCAGCCAACCACGACGGCGGAATTATCGATTCGTGGAGATCGAAACACGGGAGTATCGTCGTGCAGGGGTTGTCAGAATAATGAGACTTTCATGGAAATGTAAATGTTACTTTTAAACGGGTGAACCCTTTTGGTGCAAAACAGTAGGGTGATATGAAGGACACGTGGGTGCAGAAGTGAAAGGAAATACATACAGTATACGTACAATTATTTAAATGTAGGATTTGTACAGGGTGGTACAAAAAAGTATTCGCCTGAGGATGAAAAGAAGTCCTAACAAACATGGGTCGAAGGATTAATAGTTTCAAAGTTATGAAGAAATTTTTGTATCGTACTGATTGCTCTCGATGTCAGTCGTTTTAATCGAAACGAATAATTGTTTATAACTTTGAAATATTAATCTTTCAACTACATGTTTGTTAGCACTTTTTTTCATCATTTGGCGAGTACTGTCTACCCTACAAGTTGTGAACCCTTTTTTTTGTATCACCGTGTAAAAGAGTGATTAATAATTTATGTCTAAGTGCACTTAATGACAAATGAAAGAAGGTAACAGAATCCCCAAGAATATATTTGCCGTCATGGATAAGTGGTTCAATGGTTTAAATTTACTATAATTGTTTCGGTGATATTCAACGTGAAATAAAGAACGATTTTACAATTTAGGTAATTGAAATCCAACGTTTTTAAACATGCTATCGATCTCTGAGAAAGTTGAAGACCTTGATTTTCACTAAGAATCACATTCCTTGGAGATTCTAGATTCTTCATCGAAGTAATCTTATTGTTTCTAGCATTTCTCTTCTGTGGTAGGTCAACTGCACAAATCGTGAATGTGTCACTTGCGATATGTGCCTTGGCCCGAACGAGAAATGTATCCTGAATGGGATGCAATTCCACAGGTGTTGGAGGTCACGGGACGTTTAGAAGCTGCTGTACCACAGCCTTTTTGCAGGTCCTCTTTCCACCCATATTTTGATCCTTTGCACTCGATTGTCCCCTCTGAAGGGATAAAACGAATGGGGGAATTGGGAAATTCCGAATGCAAAGGGTTAATTTATGAACGTCAACTTTTGGGATGATTGTTTTACATGCTTCTTTCCTTCTATATGTTAACCCTTTGCACCCGATTGTCCCGTCTGAAGGGACAAAATGAATGGGGGAATTCAAGAATTCCGAGTGCAAAGGGTTAAATCATGAACGTCAACCTTTATGGATGATTGTTTTACATGACGCGATTCCCACGTGATTGATTCTCTTTCCCTACGCTGTCAGATGAATTTTTTAAAAGCAGCGCCAGACATCGAGGAGCGAATCGATATTTAAGGACACTCGATGGAGTCTGTGACACGGTCGGTCGAGTGGAAAGTGGTAGGGAGGGGGTGATGTGTCCTCGGCAACTTTCGATTGTTTCTTTCGCGTATATGAGGGCACATTTTTGCTGGATGGTATGGCTGGGTGTCTGGTCCACCTTAGTGAACACAGAAACCAGAAGTTATTACAATAAGATCACGTAGGTTTCACTTTAGATCAATTTTTGATATTATTTGACTCGTCGAAAAATAAACCTCGACAGGACTATTTATATTTAATTAACTATTGGAGATTTTTAACGAACCCTGACGTGTACCGCTCGACGAGACATTTAATTAACGTTCCAGCAATGGATTTTGCCCCCCCCCCCCCTCGAACAATGATTAATTCAGAAGCAGTTTGACGTTTTTTTTCATCGGAAAATCCAAATCGACGGGGTGAAGAGATCGGATTTATCGCGATTGTTGATTTAACTGTGTATCCCCCCTTGTGAAATGCTTTTTCTGGCTTTTTGTTTCCATCGTTCGGTCGATCGATAGAATCGTGAAATGTATTTCGTGTTTAATGTCACGCGAGGTAAATAGTACCGGAACTGTTTTTCACCGTTTTTGTGTTTCTTTATTTCATTTCGCGATATATACAGAGCCGAGTGACGCGAGATATTAAGTTCGCTTGTGAATGGACGATTTTCCGAATAATTGCACGCTCGAGCGGGCGGGGAGAGTGGCGAGGAATCGCGTGAAAAATTTCGCGAGCAGAAAGAATCACAAAATGACGGGGCACACTCTGTCGAACGATAAAGAAATAAAAATCGGGAGGCACGAAACGATCGTTTCCTTTGGTTATGTGAATCAATTGAGTTTTATATAGCGGTTTCCGTGTCGAATTAATCGTCGATTCGCACGAGCAGTCGCACGGGGATTTGTTGTTTGCAGGTAGACGAATTTCAGGGACGATGCGCTGCTGTTCCCGACTCGGTGACCTAAAATATATTCCTATTCTGTCTCGTTCCCTCGTGGATTCTCTGGTCTCGTCTTCCACTTTATTCTCCCTCTTTTCCTGTTTCCTTCGACGGAGTTCTTTGTTTATGTTCCCGTTGTTGAAACCTTATGTATTTACCGGGGGTGATCGAATTATTCGAGCCATTTGGATAAATTGAAGATTTTAGGATTTTAATTGTATTTTTCTTTAATTATCACACTAAACATTACGATTGTATTTCTACAGAGGAACATAGTTTTCGTATTGGGGCTCTAATAATTTGATCACTTTAATTATCCTCTTATGTTTTGATCTTTTTAAAGTTTCTCAGACTTTTAGTATCAATTTTTAATCGTATGATATTTCTTCATGTCCAATTAGTTGTTCCTTTTTCTACTTCCACGTGTAGGGTGGATACACCAGTAAATGAACATGTATATATAAAAACGAGTAAATTAAGTTATTAAAATAAGCAAATGAGTAAATATTGATACTTTTTAATTCCATATTTCATATTGAAACAATTTTCGTGCCGTTGGACACAAATATTCATTTATTCAATATTGTTCATTCACTGGCGGAATCTGTATATTTCCTTTTTAATTTAATTACTTACATTCCTCCAATTTTTTAAATTGAAATCTATGCGTTATAAACAGGTGTACACATTAACAAATCTAATTCTCATGTGTTAATAAATATTTATTAATATTATTATCATTTAAAATTCGACTTTAATACTTACAAAATCTTTTAAATGTTCATCCTGTTTATTCTTCTTAGACTTGGTACCGCTCCAACAGACATCAGTCTTGAAAGTTAATACCGAGTACACTAATATACTTCAAACTGAGTAATTTGGATATCGAATTGTTCGACTATCATCAATATCTATCGTTTCAGTCTCATCACTACGACCAGCCCCTCCTGTTTCTTTTTCATTCGATGTTTTCTCAACCCTCGGTATCCTTTTACTTCCTAGCCACGGTACACACACCCCAACCAACCCCCTCCCCAAGAAGAACCCCTCCTTCCTCCTTCAGACCGACAGAACCCGATGTTTGTTGTCCTTCCGATCACAGGGACTTCCCGTGAAATTTCATCAGTGACCACGTATCGTTCTTCCGCGTCGCAACGCCGGAACTACTCGTCGTTGGGGTTACATACACACCCCCACCTCCGCATTCTCGAAGGATTCGGTGACCTGGAATCCCGATTCGTCGACCAGAGGCGAAGAAAAATTCGGCGGATGAGGAACGCATGTGCCACACTCTGAAAAGTTTCCCTGGAATTCCACTGCCTCCCCTTGTACCGAGGGGTGGGTTGACGAGCCACCACGAAGGGACGGTTTAAAATGAATATTGGCTGTTTGCGGCTTGCGGCAAGTAGAGAAATTCTCGATACACGTCCCGTTGAGAGCTCTCGAGAGCTTTCCCCCTTTTTTTGCATTGTGATATCCTGATGCGGTGGGCGGATCTTGATGATTTCCATGCAGTAAAATTGTGTAGGAGGGATGGAGATACCGGAACGTGGGTTGATTGGTACTTGTATTCATAAATCCCTTCTTGATAACACAATGTCTTTATCATGGAACGTAGGCCTCCCACGCAAGGATATCTGGCTCGCTGTAACCTAGATTAAGGCCTCAGTTAGGTTCTGTTTTCGAGCTCTCCTCTTTTTCCGCAATGGGATGATTTTGGGGCTCTAGAATTTTTACAGAGGGATGGAAATACTGTAACGTGGGGTGATTTGGATTTGTTATGGGTGATAGATCCGTTCGACATCATGTATCCTAAGCTAAGGCCTCGGTTAGCTTCTGCTCTTGAGCTCCTTTTTTTTGCATTGTGATCCTGGTGGATCTTGATGATTTTGGGGCTCTAGAATTTTGACAGAGGGATGGGAATATTGTAACATGGGGTGATTTGGATTGGTGATAGATCCTTTCGACGTCATATATCCTGTGGCTCGGTTAGCTTCTGCTCTTGAGCTCCCTTTTTTCGAATTGTGATCCTGGTGGATCTTGATGATTTTGGGGCTCTAGAATTGTGTCAGAGGGATGGATATACTGTAACATGGGGTGATTTGGATTTGTTATTGGTGAAAGATATCCTCTCGATGTTTTTATCCCTGAACATCGACCTCTAACGCAAACATATCGTGTTCCTTATGAACTGGGCTAAGGCCTCTGTTAGATTCCAGCGTACGCATGCACCGATGGCTTAAACGTCGCTTTAATAATCGCCGAACATCGCGAAGGACGAGTTGGCACGCGAGCTGCATTCTACTTGAATTACGGCTGAAGAATCGTTCGTCGTTGGGGCGGATCGAGGCCGACTCAAAAATTGTTTGTCGAGTGTCCAAGACGAATGGACGATCAAGAACGTCACGGAAAGATTGGATAGACCGCGAGTTAGAGTCAGACCGATCGGAAATTCGAATAAATGACGACAAGTGGAGGTTAACTAGACGGGCAACTATTTTTTGATGGATATCCACGATTGAGAATTATGCGAGTTTATCCTCGATTTGCAAGACCGATCGTCTAATTGGTTCTATTTTCAGTGACGTGTTGAAATGGTGAAAGTAATAGTAGCAATAAATGAAGACAGTGGGACGGTAATTTTTGTCTTGACAAAGTTCTGAGAAGTTTTAAATATTGTTTACAATAATCTAATTACGATAGAGTTACAGAGATTCTCAACAAACTAATGGACTCTAATTTTTAAACTGTTCAAAGTCTAGATCAGAGATATGAACAAATTCATCAACTGAATAAAGAGTTGTGAGTAACAAATACAAGATTAAACGTGGACATTCCAATTTTTGTAATATAATAATAATTCGTAAATGAGTAGACACTTAGCGAACAACTATTTATCTTATTAACTGTTTAAAGTTCAGAATGACACTCTTCGATATTGTTACTTCTCATTACGTAGATTATTATTCGAGTAAAATTGTGCTCGTGAACTGAATCACTCCTTGCACTAGCATTAATCCTTCAAGTCCTTTTCTTTACAAATGAATCTACAGAAACCGTAATTAAATTAGAGAAAAGTCATCCAGGTAATTAAAATGTGCCATGAAAGAAAAATTCTCCCAATTTCAATCCTCCCATACCCTGAAGAAGCGTCATGAAGGATGAGGGCAGGATAGAAAAATTTGACGCTCCGTGTACTCCACTTTTCCAGCCGTTGGCGGTCGCGTTAAGCGATCCCGTCGCATGCAAATCTCGGCGATCAACGAAACAACCATCGATTTGTCATCCCCCTGCTGCTCTGACAACTCCTGAAGGCGAGCTGGAAAGTCAGAGAGACAGTGGTTTTCCTCTGTCTCTCAGTCTCATCCCGCGGAACACGAAGATCGCTGTTC